TGCCCGTCATGCGCACCGGTCCCTCGGGTCCTTGCGTAGGTCCGTGCCAGGGTGGCCGCGGGGCAGAGCGTGATCGCGGGGGGAGGGACCGCCGGCCCTGCCTTGGGGTGCAAGCCCGGCTCTCTCTGGGGTGGAAGTGGGACACTGGGCACTGCGCAGGATGGCTGCTCTGCGCTCCTGCAGGGCCGGAGGCTCCGGGGCAGTGCTGATCTGTGGCTAATCCGAGTTTCCCGCTAGCGTGGGTGCAGCTGGCAACCCGTGGCCCACAGGAAGGGGGTTCCTGGTGTTTGAATCAGAGGGGTGCAGCCCCCCTTCCCAGTTCCGCCCACGTCTAACGAGCAGGCGTGTAGCTCACAGCGTTTGTTTTCCTGGAAACTTAAAGTTTGGAAAGAGTGCGAACAAGTGTCAGCAAGAGAGACACCTCATCTGCGCTGGGCAGAGTTCTCATGTAGGCTTTAGCCGCCAAAGGCTGGCGCTCGAAAGCGGGAACGGTGTGTGCTGTGCAGGCAAGGGCCCCTGCTTCCCCAGCAGCTGCCCCAGTGGGTGGGGTCCCCCAGGGGCCTGGGGTCAAATCTGCGAGCTGGGCCCGGTCTGGTCTGTTTCATTTCAGCCCAGGGTCGGGCAGGGCTGTGTCTGGATCCGCGTCTGCCCTCACCTCCCCCAGATGCTCCAGAGGCAACCTGGGTACCCAGATGCCCATCTAATCCTCTTCCTAGGGCGGGGCTGAATATTTCCGGAAAGGACTGCTGGGGTTGTATGACCGCTCTTGCCTTGGAGACCTTTAGAGGAGAGGCCCTTGTGCTGTTTTGCATTCCGGCGAGTGGATCCTGCGTGTGGAGCCTAATTTTGCAGAGCTGTTTCTTTCTCCAGGGCCCTCGCCCTCCAGCCCAGCGCTAATTGCTGCGATGGCCTCCAGGAGTCCTGTAGAACCAGCAGCCTTGCCACTGCTGCCCTGGGCTCCTGACAATTAAATGCAATTTAGATTCCTGCACTGAGCCCGCTCCAAGGCCCCTCCCCGCCCTGCGGGAGGAAAGAAGCCGTTTCAGGTGAAGACAAGGCTGTCTGACTGGCCTGTCTCCCTCACAATAGAGACGTTATGTACAGATGTGCCCGCAGATGTTCTGTCACTGCCGCATCCAGCCGTGAGGCAGCGGAGCCAGCCGAGCGCAGCACAGGGCTGCTGCTGTCCTCCAGGCTTCTGGCTGGCCGGTGGTCCCGAAAGCTGCAGGGAAACAGTGCCTCTTTCTCCCAGCTTGCAATAAAGGTATCTGTCAAGGATGAAAGGTCGCAGTATTCCTTCTGGGCCTGCAGGATGGGCAGTTCAGGCGGCACACAGACAGTGATTGAGACCGAGTGGCGGGGCCGACAGGACAGAAGGGACAGCGGAGCAGCACGTGCCCGGGCCTCAGCCCCGGAGGGAGGCGTCTGCGGGGCTCCTGAGTGCCAGCTCCTGTTAGCGCAAGTCCAGGGTGCCCAGCACCTCACAATCCCTGCCCCCCCGTGGCAGAGTGGGGATTCTGGAGTGGCACAGAAGTGCCCTGCTGAGGTCCCGTGGTCACTAGCAGTCCTTTTACTCTGTTTTTGTAAGGCGCTAAATGCATGATGTCTGCTGCCAGAAAGGCTGGTCCCCCCCACCCTTCTGAGACAGGGTCTTGCTGTGCAACTCAGGCTGGCCTGGAACTCACAACAAGCCTACTCTTTCAGCCCCCCAAGTGCTGGGATTACAAATGCTGCTTTGGGGGAGGGGAAACTCTCTTAAGGGAGGGCAAGTGAAGCAAAAAGAGTTAAGATGTGTTGTGTCCAGACCCCAAGTCCCACGCTGCATGCAGTGGTATGTCCAGCAGGCGTGTCTGGGTAAATGTAGAGGAAGCATCAGGCTTCATGGGAGAAAAGGCCAGCTCTGGAGCTGCCTGCTTGTTCCAGTGTCGTGGTGCAGTCTGGCGGGAGGAGTCCCTTCCCTTCAAGGTCACCGGTATGCATGGGAGGCAGAGCTGGAGGGGGGCTTCTGCGAGCTTCTGGGCACCCCGTGTGTCAGCACGGACACACACAGTCATCTGTGGTTAAGAGTCACGGTGCCAGGGAATGGGCCGGAAGGACTTGCAGGCTGGGGCTAGAATCCGTCACAGGAGGAAATGACAGGCTGCTGGCTGCCTCAGGAGGGGGGCAGACGGGGTCCCCACCAGCTCTGGGCCCTGAGGACTGCGGTTGTGGTGTGCACTGTGTGTGGTTATGAGCTCACTGAGCACTTGCCTTGTGAGAGAGAAGGTAATTTGCTCCCGGGAGAATTTGGTCTGTTGAAAATGAGAACTCAAAGCCCTGCATTAGTTTCTCACGACCCTAAGAGCACATTTTAATTGAAACCCAGTTTAGGATTTTTAACCTGAAGACCTATTTTCAAAACACGCTACAGAAATGATCCAGTTGTCCCCTTAAACACGTGTAGTACTTGCTGTGGTTTTGGCACTTTGAAGTCAGGCCTTACACAATCAGTTTGCCTTTTAAAAAAAAATGTGCTGGTGTAGGACATGGTGGTACACATCTGTAATCCCAGCATTCTGGGAGGCTGAGGCAGGAGGGTTTACAGTTTTGGCCCATCCAGGAAAACTTGGCAACTTGGGGGGGACCCTGTCTCAGAATGAAAAATAGAAAAGGGCTGGGATTTAGGTCAGTGTGAAGGCTGAGGGTTCAATTCTCAGTACCGGTGAAAAATTCCTGCTGGGATTTTGTCTGAGATTGTATTGAATCTCTAGGTTATTGGGGGGGCGGAATTCCTTCATTGTGGTTTTACTGAATTTCCTCACCTGTTTGATGGCCCACAACTCTTCAGTTTAGGTCTTCAATTTCTTTCAGGAGCATTTTGTAGTTTTTAAGTTTATAGGCCTTCTTCATCTTTTGCAAATTTAACCCTAAATATTTAATGCCTTTAGGCTACTTTAAGGGGCAGTGTTGCTGAAGATTGTTTCTAACATGGGAATATGGCTGAATTTGAATTCAGATCCTGTCCTGTTCAACTTTGCCATAGTCTCTCGGCTTGGTTCTGGATGCTTTCTGTCCATCTCATCAGGTTTTTCTTTGCAAATGATCATCTTGTCCAGAACAGGCCAGTTTTACTTCCTCTCTCGCGTTACTTCCTTTTCTCGTCCCAGGGCACTGTTCAGAAACTACAGCAATGTTAGATAGAGGTGGTGACTATAGCATCTGTGCTTGTTCCGGGCCCTAAAAGGAAAGTATTGTCCTTTATCTCCAAGTATAATGTTTGCAGTAGCTTTTGCATAGATTTTTTTTTTTTTAAATCAGGTTGAGGAAGTTCCTTTCTATTCTTAACTTATCTCTGAATTTTTTTTTTTAACAATTACTGGGGATTGAACCCAGGACTTTTGCACTGAGCTACATCCCCAGATCTTTCTTTTGAGATAGGGTCTCTCCAAGTTGCTGAGTTACTGGGCTGGGCTTACACTTGCAATCTTCCTGCTTCAGCCTCTCAGAGTTCTGGGATCATGGGTATGCGCCACCACGTCGGGTGGCTGTGAGTTCTAATGAGGGAAGAGGTTGTATTTTGTCGGTGGTGTTTCTGTATCGATCAAGAACAATTACCCTTTTCATTTTATTGGTTGATTGCAAGCTTGCATTCCCAGGATTTATCCACCTTGCTACAGTAGACCATGCCCTGGATTTTGTGGGTATTTCTGAGGCTTCTGTGTGTGGTTGAGAGTAGACTTTGCAGGACTTGAGCACTTTGGGATTTATTTAGACTTGTTCGTGTCCCCAAACCCTGGCTGTTCACTTACTTGGAAAGTGCTCTCTCTGGCTCCCCAGTCAGGGCTCCATCCAGGAGAAGCTGTTTGACAGTGTTCAGATCTTTCCCCTCTTGTCTTCTCGGTCTGTAGAGTATGACAGAAGGCTGGGCTGCTCTCTAGGTCCATAGTCTGGGGAGGAAAAAGTAGAAACTGTTTCTCCCTGAGTTTTGCAGGCTGGAAGCCTGAGCTCAAGGCTGGGCTGGGCTGGTTTCTTCTCAAGTCCATCCCTCACCTGCAGTCCCCTCTTCTCCTGAGTTCTCTGGGGGCCCCTGGTTCTGTGAGCATGAGCCCTGTGTAGTTCAGGCTGGCCTTGATCTCACCGCAATCCTCCTGCCTCAGCCTCCCAATTGCTGGGATTATGGCCATTTGCCAACACAGCTGACAATTTCTGCTTTAGTGAGAAATCCTCTGTTACCCAGGCGGTTGTCCCTCCACCTGTGATGTGTGTTTTTCTTCCCTTGGCTTCATTTGAGCTTTTCTTCTTTTCTGTAGTGGTGGGGATTGGACTCAGGGCCTCGCGCATGATAGGCGAGCACTTACCACTCACCTACTTCCCCAGCCTTTCTTTATTTTTATTTTGAGACAGGATCTTGCTGAGTTGCCCAGGCTGGTTCTCCCACTCAGAATCCTCCTGCCTCAGCCTCCTGAGTAGCTGGGATTACAGGTGAGCACCACCACACCCAGTTTAAGACTTTTAAGCACCCGGTTTGAGCACTTTAATTGGCACGGGCCTGGATGAAGAAGTTTCGGTCACCTTGTGCCAGAGATTGGTTCCGCCTCTTGGTTCTGTGGGTTTTCGGTTTTCTTCTTATTTTGGAACATTTTCAGCCTTATTTCCGCAGATGCCACAGCCCCTACTCTCTTTCGCGGCTCCCGAGCGAGGTGGGTTGCAGAGCTCCCCCTGCACAGCTGTGCTCAAATGCCTCGGGCTCCGACCTCTGCTCCTGCAGTGTGGGGGCCTGCTGCCTCCCCAGCCGGGTACCGCTCCGAGTTTCGCACTTCCGGCGTTTGCCTCCGGTGTTCCTGGGGCTCCGCCTCCCGCACATGCGCGATGCAGGCCGACACCCCAGTTTTCCTCGCCTCCGTCTGCCTGGGCTTAGTTTAGGCTGGTCATTCTCATTATGGGCAGGTTTCTTCTCTTTAAATGCCCAATGGGCAACATCCTAGGAGTGGACCCACTTTTGAGAATTCTGTGTCTGAATTCCTTCCCTTCTTTCCTTATTTTTTATTTAGGTACTATTTTGAGACAGGGTCTCGCTATGTAGTTCACACTGGCCTTAGACTCACTATGCAGCCCAGGCTGGCTTCGGACTCCCAGCGAACCTCCTGCCTCAGTCTCCCCCGTGCCACCACGCCCAGCTCCTTCCTTTTTAGATTGTTGAGGCAATGTCTTGTTAAGTTGCCCGGACTGTGCTCAAACTGGTGACCTTCCTCCCTCAGCCGCCCTCCCAGACCCAGCTGTGACTAATTCTTTTCAGTCCCCAACATAGGGAAGCCGTGTTGCCGGGCTGACTTCTCGTTCTGTTTGCGGATTTCCGGCAGACTCCGCTAGATTGACAAGTTCCCGAGCCGCAGCGGAGAGAGCTGACAGTTTCTACCTTTCTCTTCTCAGCCCGAAGAATTCACCGCGAATCTGCACGGTTTTAAGAAAAAGACTTTTAAAAAACCCAAGGCCTGCGGAGTTTGCACAGAAGTCATTGACGGCCAGGGGGTTTCGTGCCGAGGTAAGCACCCCGCTTGGGATTCTCTGCCAGCTCCACCGGATTGGACAAATCGGAGTCAGAACAGGCTGGAGGTTTCCCAGTTAAGCGGCGGAATTTCCCTCTTTGGCCTCCTTCACCCCGACTGTCCTAGGCCCTGCCAGAGTCGGGCTGGGAGCTCACAAGGAAATGTGCAGGAGGGCACCCACCGCGTGGCTCCATAGGAGGGGACGGCCGCCCTCCTGCCTGGGTTCCTGCGGTAGCTTGACTCACCTTTTTTAGTTTGTTTTGGTTTGGTTTTGATTTTTGAGGATAAGTCTCACTGTGTAGGGCATGCTGGCTTTGAACTGGAGGTGATGATCCTCCTGCCTCAGCCTCCCGGCTGCTGGCATCACAGGTGTTTACTGCCATATCTGGCTTCTTGTGCAAAATCTGCAGAGTCCTGTGGTGCTCCCTGGCAGAAGGTACCTGGGGAGGGGAGGGAGGCGAAGCTGATGCTGGACAGGCTCCTGTGCGTGTCTCCCGCATCCTTTCCAAGGCAGAGAGCCCTTGCCAGGGTGGGCCGGGGCCCTGTGCCTGTGATGCCACTGTCTGCACTCAGGGCCGAGGCTGTGCCTGGGGGTCAGCGCGTCACCGCTGCACCTCTGCTGCGTCCGCAGTGCCTCCTGGTGGTGGGGCCTCTCAGGGCACTGATGGCAGAGTGGGGACACAGACCAGCCGCAGGCCCTGCTGCACAGGGCGCAGGTGGCCCCTCCAAGAAGGAAGGGAGGAGCTGGGCAGGGGCCAGGAAGCAGGGTTCTGGGAGCGGAGGCAGTGGGGACCCTGTGGGGACAGCGGCCCCTCCGGAGCATCCGGGGCTGAGTCCCAAGAGAGAAACTCCCAGCGACACCTGGGTAGCCAGTAACTTGGGGGACAACATTGACTCAGAACCTCATGGGTCCTACGTGCTGTAGGGACAGGAGTGCGAATGCTGCTTGCTCTTGCCGAGGCCCTTGAAGAGCTGTTATCTTATCTGGAGGGCGGAGGGGCTTTTGTTCCCTCAGGAGAGTGGACCTGCTCCCTGCTGCTTGGGACCAGGTGTCCTGTCCTCTGCTTATCTCACTGTCCCAGACTGAGTGCCGCCCTGAGTGTCTGGATAACGGGATCAGCACCTCTGTTCCCCTGGTGGCGCCCATAAGACTGGGGCAGGCTGAGTGCTGAGTGCCCGCCTGGCTGTGTGACCATCCTGGGCTGCCATTGTCACAGGTCCTGTGCTGAGGTTACTGTGCTTCGGGAACCCACGGCCCAGTCTTGCCTTGCTGGGAAGTGAGTTCTAGGCCGTGGGTCCCAGTTTTGAGCCTGGCACAGGGTGAATACAGACAGCCAGGCCTGGGGAGGGGAGGGACTCAGGCTGCCTCACTGCTGGGGGAGACCAGCCTGTGACTGGAGGCCACTGTGATTGATTAGCAATAGATTGATTCTGATTAGTGCTCCCAGTAGCACATCCTGCAGCTCTTTCTCCTCCTTCCTCCTTCTCCTCTCTCCCCCTCTCTCTGTTTTCCCCTGGGAATTGGACCCAAGGGCCTTTGCTCTGAACTGTATCCTCAGCCCTTCTTACTTTTTATTTAAAATTTTAAAAAATTGTTCATTTTTTTTTCAGTTCTTGAGACAGAATCTTGCTGTGTAGTTCAGGTTGGCCTTGAAATCACTATGTAGCTCAGGCTGGCCTTGGACTTGTGGCAGCCCTCCTGCCTCAGCCTCCTGAGTGCTGGGATCGTAGGCAGCCCTCCATGCCTGGCTGCAGTGTGTATTTAGCTGGTGGTTGGCAAGTTGAGTCTGGCCTTGGTAACTTAGCAGCTTAGTGAGACCCTAATTAAACATCAGAAGTACAGAGCAGGCGGGGGACGCAGCTCTGGGGGGTTCTGGGTCTAGTCCCCAGTCCCCCCCCCCCCCCCCC